CCATCACCTAACCGCCTCCTCCCTCCAACCACAACTCTGCCCCGTGTCTCCAATTGCACAGCGATCTTATGGGCCGTCCATAAATGACGTCACGCGATTTTGGACGATTTCGTCACACGGCGTCACAAAAAGTCAGACCCCCCCTCAAATATGACGTCACAAAGCTCTGCCCCCCCCCCTAAAATAAAACACGCTTCAAATCGCTTTAAACTATTGTCATTGTAGTGCGTATTTAATGTGACGCTGCACTCTGATGTTGTAGGAGAACACATTTATTAAAAAGTCTATTGAATTAAGTAGAACGTGTTGTCTATATTTATTTAAAGTTGCGCATTTTGATGTGACGTCACATTTCTCAACCCCCCCCCCCCCCTCGTCACACATCGTCACAAATGTCTGACCCCCCCCCCACACCCTCTAGCTGCGTGACGTCATTTATGGACGGTCCCTGATGTGGTATATCTGTATCTATGTCCGTATACTACCAAATATACAACGGGGGAGGTAGCTCACAGCTCACAGCCCCGGCGTTAAACTTCTTTCGCACCGCACGCAGCCAACCGGAGGCGCAGCGCGCTAACCATCGCGCCACCGCTCCTCGCATCAACAGTCCGGCGCGCAGCCAACTCGTGACGACACCGCCCCGGTGCACAGCCCCCACCCCCCATCCCCCCCCCCCCGTCCCACCCCACCCCCATCCCCCCACCCCCCCGTCCCACCCCACCCCTCCGTCCCCCCACCCCCACACCCCCCCACCCCCATCCCCCCGTCCCACCCACCCCCACCCCCCTATCCCCCCACCCCCATTCCCCCCGTCCCCCCCACCCCCCGCCCCCCCATCCACCCCCCCCCCAAGTCCCCACCCCATCCCCCCACCCCCCCGTGCCCCCACCACCCCGTCCCCCCCACCCCAGTCCCCACCCCATCCCCCCACCCCCCGTCCCCACCCCATCCCCCCACCCCCCCGTGCCCCCACCCCCCCGTCCCCCCCCACCCCCACCCCATCCCCCCACCCCCCCCGTGCCCCCACCCCCCGTCCCCCCCACCCCCCCGTCCCCCCACCCCCACATCCCCCCCACCCCCCAGTCCCCACCCCATCCCCCCACCCCCCCGTGCCCCCACCCCCCGTCCCCCCCGCCCCCACATCCCCCCCACCCCCAGTCCCCACCCCATCCCCCCACCCCCCGTGCCCCCACCCCCCGTCCCCCCCGCCCCCACATCCCCCCCACCCCCAGTCCCCACCCCATCCCCCCACCCCCCCGTGCCCCCACACCCCCGTCCCCCCCGCCCCCCCACCCCCCACGGGGTCCCGCAGGAAACCCGTGGGCGTGTGAACGGACGCGCGCGGCAACTCCCTACGCGGATGCAGCAGCAGCTCCCCCACGTCTCATACGCACACACCAGCAGCCCCCCCCCCCCCCCATCATCTACCCCCCCCCTTCAACCTAACCCCCCCTTAACCCAGCCCCCCCCTCAACCCAGCCCCCTTCTCAACCTAGCCCCCCCCCTTCAACCTAACCCCCCCCTTAACCCAGCCCCTCCCCCCTTAACCCAGCCCCCCCCCCATCATCATCTACCCCCCCCTCAACCTAGCCCCCCCCCCTCAACCTAGCCCCCCCTCAACCTAACCCCCCCTTAACCCAGCCCCTCCCCCCTTAACCCAGCCCCCCCCTCAACCTAGCCCCCCCCTTAACCTAGCCCCCCACCCTGAACCCAGCCCCCCCCTTCATCTACCCCCCCCCCTCAACCCAGTCGCGTCTAGGAGATGTTAACTCCCTCGCCTGGTGTACAGGAGGTCGTGGGTTCGATCCCGACCCTGACGATGCCTGCTGCTGTATATTTGGAGTTTGCGTCTCTCTCATCATCACGGTGGCTAGGGGATGTTGACTACCTCGCCTGGTGTACAGGAGGTCGTGGGTTCGATCCCGTCCCTGACGCCTGTTGCTGTATATTTGAAGTTTGCGTGTCTCTCTCTCCCCTTGGTCGCGTGGGGTTTACCCCTCCACATTTAGAATCAACCCCACGCGTTCAGAGTATACGGCTGCAGTGAACTTGCACGTGATGATCCACCCCGTTGGGCTATCATTTGTGGCCAGGTCGCTTCTGCAAGTTCCAAATCAGCAGCGGGCGTCAGGGTCGGGATCGAACCCGCGACCTCCTCTGTGCCACCAAGTGTCTGGTTCCGGCAACCGCGTTGGCTACAATGACGACACCGTGTTCTCGTTATCACGCAATATTTTATTTACGCTTAATTACCTCCCCGGCTTTGCAGAATACACTTGTAATCGTTGTTTAAAAAAAAAACACGTTCTAAACAGCAAACGTTCTATAAATATAAACTTTGTTCTTCAAAAGCATTTATACATTTTACTTTGCATATATATAAAAAATACTGCTACGCATTTTTGTTTGCCTTTCAACTATGTCGTATGAATGACCGTCCGCTGCTGTGCAAACGGACGATGAAAATATCAGTCGTAAGCCTTTGTCTCGGTGTGTCCGCAGTAGCAGCAGCATCACCTGGTCTGGGCGATCTGCATTCAGCTGAGACTCAACACATTGACCCACTGAAACACTGCTCGTTCGTTAAGCGGAAGGTTCTGAAAACGGCCCGACTTCACGCGCCTGCGAAGGGCCGTCGCCCGAAACGTCGCCCCTTCCTTAAAAGGCGCCACGGTGGCTAGAGATGTTAACTACCTCGCCTCGTCTACAAGAGGTCGTGGGTTCGATCCCGATCCTGACCCTTGCTGCTGTATATTTGGAGTTTGCGTGTCTCTCTCTATCTCATCATCACGGTGGCTCGGAGATGTTAACTACCTTGCCTGGTGTACAGGAGGTCGTGGGTTTGATCCCGACCCTGACGCCTGCTGCTGTATATTTGGAGTTTGAGTCTCTCTGTCATCATCATCACGGTGGCTAGGAGATGTTAACTGCCTCGCCTGGTCTACAGGAGTTCGTGGGTTCGATCCCGACCCTGACGCCTGCTGCTGTATAATTGGAGTTTGCGTGTCTCTCTCATCATCATCACGGTGGCTCGGAGATGTTAACTGCCTCGTCTGGTGTACAGGAGGTCGTGGGTTCGATCCCGATCCTGACCCTTTCTGCTGTATAATTAGAGTTTGCGTGTCTCTCTCATCATCACGGTGGCTAGGAGATGTTAACTACCTCGCCTGGTGTACAGGAGGTCGTGGGTTCGATCCCGATCCTGACGCCTGCTGCTGTATAATTAGAGTTTGCGTGTCTCTCTCATCATCATCACGGTGGCTAGGAGATGTTAACTGCCTCGCCTGGTGTACAGGAGGTCGTGGGTTCGATCCCGACCCTGACCCCTGCAACACGAACGTTGCAAGGCGGCCTACGAACTAATCCGCCAATCTCAGGACGACCCATCGTGTGTCTAGGCGATCATCGACGCAGCGATGGACTCTCGCGATTAGCACGGTTGGATACGTATGGTGCGAAAGAAGTTAAACATACGTACGTGTTACATACATTGTGAGCCCCCTGCAGACAGACAGTAGGTTACTGTGGAATGTTCGAATCGCTGACACCACCACTACCACCACCACCACTACCATCACCACGGTGCCTGTGCCAGGCCAGGTGCACATTGAGGCCACGTGAAGTGTCGAAGGCTCGCTGACAGGAGGTCTCGGGACAAACACAGGTGCCATGGGTTGGCTGACTGAGGTGACTGGCAGATGCACCAGCTGTATCCACGACTGTGCCAAGTTGCTGTATTTTAGCCGCCCGGCGCTCCGCTCGTTGTTGTGAGCGTCGCTCCTCTGCCCTCTGTTGCTGCTGGAGGGAGACTGCCTCCAAATGCTTAGCAGCGTCCTTCACGAGCCTCCTCCATAGAGGCCGATCTTGACACCGCTGGTACCAATCATCGGCAAGTCCACTGAGCTCCACATCCTCCCGTACTGCATTAGTTCATCTCTTCTCCAGCCCGTGTCGTGTCCATTTAGCCCTCTCTATGCAGACAAACAGAAGCTGTTTAGTCATGGGGTGGCTGGGCATGCGGGCTACATGACCCAGCTAACGCAGCCTCGCCTGCCGGAGGAGCTCACTGATGGGAATGTGTCCAGATCTTTCAAGGATTTGTGAGCTCCTCACACAATCCAGCCTGGTTAAACCCAGGATGGATCGTAGGCAAACCGGCCTTGATGTTTCTAACCGGCGCAGATGTTCCATTAGAGGGGTCCACGTTTCACAAGCATAGAGAAGGGAGGGCATGAACATGGCCAAGAAGACCCGAAGCTTCGTGCAGAGCGACAGACCAGGTAGCTTCCACACAGCATCACGCGGTCGATGAAAAGATAATGCCGCCCGACTGATTCGGAATGAGACCTCTGCTGTCAAACCAGAGCTAGTCATAAGCACACTGCCCAGGTATTGGAAACTCAACTCTCTCCACAACTGCCCCCTCACGAAAGAGGAGCTGAGGGGGTGGAGTGTTTGGTGGCAGAAAATACCTTGATGCTTAGTTTTGGTGGGGCTGATGGTGGCACACTCCAGGTAAGCAGCAATCACCAGATCATCAGCCTACATAACATGGTTATCACCACCACGACAGCCAACACCAACACCATCACCAAAAGACAAGACAAAGATCCCCCGTGTAGCTTTAACAGACTGTTGGGGCAAGTGCTGTTAGCGAGCACCTATAATGGCCGGAACGGTACACGAGGGGGTGGGTGGCCAGCACCACGGCCGACCGCCTTTGTCTCCCCAGTGGCGATGTTTACACACCGCACCAGGTACTCATTCGAGGCTGAGTCGACCTAGAGGAGGCCTCGTCACCGGTGGTGTTGGCCGTGAGCGGAAATTGAACCCGGGTCGCCGGGTTCGTTGCACAACGCGCTAACCGTGACCACCACCGCTATCACCACCGCCACCATCACCACCGCCACCACCATCACCATCACCACCGCCGCCACCACCATCACCACCGCCGCCACCACCACCATCACCACCACCAGCACCATCACCACCACCGCCACCACCATCGCCACCAACATCACCACCACCGCCACCACCACTGCCGCCACCCGCCGAAGAACCGAGCGTCTCGACTCTTCGCCGACGCCGGAGGCTCAGGCGGAGGCGAGGTGCAGCGACGCGGGCCTGGGCCTTCCCTCCCGCGCGCCGTCGGAGCGCTCGCTTGCCGACCGGGGCCGCCCGAACCGCACGGACAGACGGTGCCTGCCACCGCCACTGCCACCACCACCGCCACCGCCGCCGCCGCCGCCGCCACCGAAGCTGTCTCCGCTGCCGCCCCAGCCGGAGCGGTGGTTCTTCCGGCGCCGCAGCGGAGACATGGACGAGTTGGAGGAGGAGGCGGGTTCGGCGCGCGGCAACGGCTCGTCGGCCCCGTGGCGGCAGGCGAGCTGCAGGAGGGGGGGTCCCGCCTGGGGAGGGCCGAAGGCTTCGGGGTGGCGCGCGCGGTCGAGGTCGCGGGCGCTGCAGCGCGGCGTCGGCACCTTTTTGGGGGCGAAACGCGCGGCAGGTGGAGCGGGGGATGTGTGTTTTGTGTTTTTTGTGTTTTTTAGTTTTTTGTTTCAACGTTTCGCGGCTCTTGGGACCTGACGTGCCGCGAGCAGTTCGTTTCGCCGGTGTGCGGCGGCGTGACCGAGACGATCTGAAGACTCGAGCCACGGGCGGCGGTGCGACTGTGGCCACTCAACCCAGACTGTGGACCCGCGTGGCGAGCCCACTGTAGCCAAATCACACGAACTCCCTCCTCTCTCTCTCTCTCTTATGTGTGCACGTTGGACTGTTTACACGGGGATAATGAACACGAGGATAAACGGGGGCACTTAACAATTCATCCGCCGTGCATCGTCACGATTGGTAGCCGCGAGTCAAGAATGGATTTGCTTTCTCCGTGTACGTTTGCTGAACTTCTTTCGCACCGTACGTAGCCAACCGCAGCTAATATGATGATGCGGGGGATGGGGGGGGGGGAAGGACAACAAACTAAACGCCCTCGACTGCTTTGTCTACTGACACCGCAAGCCCAGCGCGGACCGATGCTGCTTCCCCAGGACATTGGCCGTGGTGCCCAGCCTGGGAAACATCCATCAACAATCCCGATGGAGGGAAGCGGTGGGGAGGACTCTCCATAACAAAGGCTCACCCTCTTAAGCCTCACCTTACCATATGAATAAAAAGTGTGCTGTACTTGCCGCTTACCCCCCCCCCTCTCCAACCATTATATAAACGGAGTGGTAGCTCCTGCAATCTCTCAATTACTTGATACAGCTGTCGTGGCTGTGACGGTTCCACCTGAAGATGGAAGCTTGTGTTGCCTCCGAAACGTCGTGATTTTTTTTTACTTTTAATAATTTTAATGTTTTACCTACCTGTGACTTTACCGAAAAAATCTAAGAATACGGTGGGGAGGAGGTACAGTGGTGGTGGTGGGACGGGGGGTAGAGGGGGTGGAGTGGGGTAGGGAAGGTGAGCCAACCTCGAGGTTGACCTTGAGATCACCTCCGTCAAACCTTGGGCTTGCGTTCACCCTTGAGCTCAACCCCTTGAACTCACCTCGAGTTCACCCATGAGCTGACCCTTAAACTCATCCTTGAGGTTAACCCCTTGAGCTCACCTTGAGCTAACCTTGACCTCACCCTGAGTTCAAATCCTTGACCTCATCCTTGACCTCATCCTCGACCTCATCCTTGACCTCATCCTTGACCTCACCCTTGACTTCACCCTTGACCTCACCCTTGACCTCAAGCCTAGAATCTCACGTGGTGCCCCCCGCCCTCCGACCCTTTAGGGGCCGTCCATAAATGACGTCACGATTGGACGATTTGTGACCCACCCCCATCCCATCGTCACACGACGTCACAAAAAGTCAGACCCCCCCTCTCTCAAATATGACGTCACAAAGCTCTGCCCCCCCCCCCCCCAATAAAATAAAACATGCTTCAAATCGCTTTAAACTATTGTCATTGTAGTGCGTAGTTAATGTGGCGCTGCACTCTGATGTTGTAGGAGAAACATTTATTAAAAAGTCTAACATTTATTAAAAAGTCTATTTAATTAAGTATGTTTTATTTTTATTATTTTATTACTTCCCTTCTACGTGACTTTACCGAAAGAACCAAGAAGATAAGTAGAACGTGTTGTCTATATTTATTTAAAGTTGCGCATTTTGATGTGACGTCACATTTCTCACCCCCCCCCCCCCCATCGTCACAAATGTCTGACCCCGCCCCCCCCCCCCCAGGTGCGTGACGTCACTTATGGCCGTCCCCCTTTAACCGTGAGCCGCCCGGCGCACCTTGACGGTTCTAGATTTGAAGCTTTCGTGACTGCAAGGGTTCATATTCTTAGGTTTTTTCGGTAAAGTCACCATGTAGGTTAAAAATTTTAATTAATAAAGGTAAAATAAAATAAAAATCACGACGTTTCGGAAGCTATCGTGGCTGTGACTGTTCCACCTGAAGACGGAGGCTTGTGTTGCTTCCGAAACGTCGTGATTTTTATTTTATTTGTATTTTACTTTTATTAAATCCTTTATATTAAGTTCACTTGCTTGCTTGTTTGCTTACGACCGTGCAAATCTTTCGGTCGTTTTTTAACCCACTTCCCGTGATCCAATCGAGCTGACATTTTGCACACAGACTCGTTGTGCGTGACAATTTATTTTCGTGAAACAATTTTTCCAAAATGTTACACTGTTTAGGGGAAAAATAATTAAATATTTAAGTACCAATTGCTTAATGGTGGCAGACAATCATCTGACCCATAGGTGGCAGCCATCTCAAGCCAGAGGACGAGAGGACTCTAGCCACCCGTTTCAAAGACCAATGTGGGCTGGGTTGTGGCCCATTGAACACGCATATAAAGGATTTATAGTGAAAAACTTTGCTTTTACGGGTTAATTTTTAATTTAAATATTTTTACCTACGTGACTTTACCGACAGAAAAAAAAAAACCTAACAACGCGCACCTTGACGGTGTTGCCGAACTTGGAGTAGTCGACAGGAGTATCGGCCGTCCTCCTCCGTGACGACGCTCTCGAATCGGTGGCCCCACAAGATCTCGTCGGCCAGGTAGGAGGTGCGCGCCTGCGTGGTGATGCCTGTCGTCTCCACGATGCCCTCCAGCACCACCACCACCTCCACGTCGGCGCCGGGCAGCTCGGCCGCCGCCAGCGAGTAGAGGGGGCTGCGCGCGTCCACCGTGTGGCTCACGATCAGCGGAGACACCAGGAAGATGCTGTTGGCCCCCACGGGGTTGTCCATCTGGATGTCCACCTGGTGCATGGGGATCACCTCGCCCTCCGAAGTCGTCGTCTTGCAGATTACCTGCGGGGGGCGGGGGCGGGGGGGAGAGAGGGTTCACGACCTCTTCACTTGTCGCTCACGTTTAGATTTGGGTGACGTTGGCGCCTCCCCCAACCCCCCTGCCCCCCTGCATAAAGATCCCCCGTGTAGCCTTAACAGACTGTAGGGGCAAGTGCTGTTAGCGAGCAGCACCTATGAAGGCCGGCACGGCACACGAGGGGGTGGGTGGCCAGCAACCACGCCCGACCGCCTTTGTCTCCCTAGTTGGCGATGTTTTTACACTCCGCACCAGGTAATCATTTTAGGCTGAGTCGACCTAGGGGAGGCCCGGGACCGGTTCAGATAATCGTCACCGGTGTTGGCCGTGAGCGGGAATCGAACCAGTGTCGCCGGGCTCGTAGCACATTGTAGTGCTAACCGCTGCACCACCGCTCCCCCCTACACACACACACTGCCACCCCCCTGCCCCCTACACACACTGTCACCCCCCCTACACACACACACTGACACCCCCCTGCCCCCCTACACACACACACAGTCACCCCCCTGCCCCCTACACACACTGTCACCCCCCCCTACACACACACACTGCCACCCCCCCCCCTACACACACACACTGGCACCCCCCCTGCCCCCCTACACACACACACAGTCACCCCCCTGCCCACCTACACACACTGTCACCCCCCCCTACACACACACACTGACCCCCCCCCTACACACACACACTGACACCCCCCCTGCCCCCCTACACACACACACACACTGACACCCCCCTACACACACCGCCCCCCCGCCCCCTACACACACACACTGTCACCCCCCCCGCTACACACAGTCACACCCCCTACCCCCCCCGCCTCCCCCCCCGCCCACCTGCATGCGCACGCTGGCGCTGATGATCATGCTCTTGCGCAGGTCTCCCACGCGCACCATGAAGCAGAGGCGCTTGTCGCGCAGCGCCACCACGGCGTGCCGGCTGAAGATGAGCGTCTCGGCGCGCCGGTGCGCCTGCGCCGTCTTCATGAAGATGCAGCCCAGCATGACGGCGTTGGTGAGCAGGCCCACGATGTTCTGCATGATGAGGGCGCAGATGGCGCACGGGCACTGCTCCGTGATCATGCGCCCGCCGAAGCCGATGGTCACCTGCAGCGGCAGCGGCGGCGGCGGCGGCGTCAGCGTGGTGGTGCTGGTGGTGGTGTTGGTGGTGGTGCTGGTGCTGGTGGTGGTGTTGGTGCTGGTGGTGGTGGTGTTGGTGGTGATGTTGGTGGTGGTGTTGGTGGTGGTGGTGGTGCTGGTGGTGGTGGTGCTGGTGGTGGTGGTGCTGGTGGTGGTGTTGGTGGTGGTGTTGTTGGTGTTGTTGGTGGTGGTGGTAATTTCGATCGGATCATTGGGGTTTAACACATTCCTGCGGAGGGAGCTGGTAGGAACGTTGGGTTGCTCGGGCAATGGCCAGGGTCAACGGCGGCGTGGTGTATTCCGCAAATATGCCCGACTGTGCGGGCGGGCACGAGCCGGCGTGAGTAGGTTAAACGTTGAGTTTTATAAGGGCACCACGGGGTGACCAGCCCCTCCCCACCAAGCCCCACCCCTCCCACCTCCCACCCAGCCCCACCCCTCCCCACCCTCCCCTCCCCACCCAGCCCCTCTCTCCCCACCCAGCCCCTCCCTACACGACGGACGGACACAATAATCCCCTGTGGGCTGGTGTAACCAGGAGGTTCCTACCAGTATTAGTAATAAATCGGCATTTTGCGACCCCCACTGCCACTGTGTAGCATATTATTCCTTGCCAGGGACTCTATGAGATGATAGGACAATAGTCTGAGTCCATAATTGGCAATAAGTAACGGAAAAGTAGTTATAAGTGGCTCACAGAATTGTGTGCAAGTTGCGTCTACAGGCCACACGACTTCCCTGAAGGCATTCACCTTCAGCGAGCGTGATGCCGATCACACAACGCGGTTCGAATTCGACCCTCGCCACCGCATAAACATGAAGGGACAAGTCCTCACTTACTAACAACTCCTCTATCATGTTTCATTGCTGGAGGGGTTGCCCCCCACCCCGACATGTAAATCCTGGCTCTGCCATTCATTGAACGCATGACCCCACGTGTCAGTGGTCACCCAGATCTCGGATGACGCAGCCTAAAGCAGGCCGTGTGAGCCTGGTGAGTTCGATGAAACATTGCCGGCTGTTGTAGGCTTTGTTGGGCAGCGATCTAACCCACAGATAAACCTGTCAAGGCTATGCAGGGCACCTTTGTCCTTGGTGGTGCTGCCAACACTCGACAAATGTTCACGGGCCACCAAGAAATTAAAAACAACTCATGCCACGTGGTGAGCAGATGCACGTGTGCTGAGCTTCTTTCGCGCCGTACGTAGCCAACCGTGCGAATCGGAGGTGCGGAGGAAGGACAACAAACACTAAAACACACAAAAATCCGTTTTATAGAATTGAGTTTTCAATCTAAATGATTTAAAAGATAGAGGCTAGAGACCACCACCACCGCCACCACTGCCGTCATCACCATCACCACTTCCACCACCGCCACCACCACCGCCACCACTGCCGTCATCACCACCATCACCACCACCGCCGCCACCACCACCACCATCACCACCACCGCCGCCACTACCGTCATCACCACCACCGCCACCACCGCCACTGCCACCAGCACCACCACCGTCGCTCCCATCACCACCGCCGCCACCACCGCCACCACCACTACCACCGGCACCACCATCACCATCACCACCACCATCACCACCGCCACCACTACCGTCATCACCACCACCGCCGCCACTACCGTCATCACCACCACCGCCACCAGCACCACCACCGCCGTTCCCATCACCATCACGACCACCGCCGCCACTACCGTCATCACCACCACCGCCACCACTATCATCACCACCGCCACCACCACCACCGCCACCACCATCACCATCACCACCACCGCCGCCACTACCGTCATCACCACCACCGCCACCACTATCATCACCACCGCCACCACCACCACCGCCACCACCATCACCATCACCACCACCGCCGCCACTACCGTCATCACCACCACCGCCACCACCGCCACCAGCACCAACACCACCGCTCCCATCACCATCACCAGCACCACTACCGTCATCACCACCACCGCCACCAGCATCACCACCACCGCCGCCACTACCGTCATCACCGCCACCACCACCGCCACCAGCACCACCACCACCGCTGCCATCACCATCCATCACCACCATCACCACCGTCGCCGCCGCCACTACCGTCATCACCGCCACCACCACCGCCACCAGCACCACCACCACCACCGCCACCAGCACCACCACCGCCACCACCACCACCGCAACCACCACCACCGCCACCAGCACCACCACCGCAACCACCACCACCGCCGTCGCCGCCACCGCCGCCACCGCCACCAGCACCACCACCGCCACCACCATCACCGCCACCACCACCACCGCCGTCGCCGCCACCACCGCCACCAGCACCACCACCGCCGCTCCCACCACCATCACCACCGTCGCCGCCGCCACTGCCGCTGCCACTCGCCTGAACCTCGATGGAGAAGAGGAATGCGGCGGTGAAGGAGCGCACGTCGGTGACGCACGGCGCGGGGCTGCCCGCGAGGTCTCCGTGCGCGAACGCGATGAGCCACCAGAGCATGGCGAAGAGGAACCACGTGGTGAGGAAGGCCATGTTGAAGACGATGAGCGTGTTGGGCCAGCGCAGGTCCACCAGCGTGGTGAACACGTCCTGCAGGAAGCGCCCTTGCTCGCGGATGTTCTTGTGCGCCACGTTGCAAGCGCCGCTCTGGGGGTGGCGGGGGGGGGCAGGAGGGGGGGGGGGCAGGAGGAGGGCAGGAGGGGGGGGGCAGGAGGGGGGGGGGTAGCGGGGGGGGGGGCAGGAGGGGGGGGTAGCGGGGGGGGGGGTAGCGGGGGGGGGGGCAGGAGGGGGGGGTAGCGGGGGGGGGGCAGGAGGGGGGGGCAGGAGGGGGGGGGCAGGAGGGGGGGGGGTAGCGGGGGGGGGGCAGGAGGGGGGGGGTAGCGGGGGGGGGGGCAGGAGGGGGGTGACCGTGCCGAACGGTCATCGTCGGGGTGCGCTCGGATGCAGCCGACGTCGGCTCTCGCAATCGTCGACGCGCACGGAACGTCTTGAGTGGAACGTCTTTGGCGGAACGTCTTGAGTGGAACGTCTTTGGCGGAACGTCTTAAGTGGAACGTCTTGAATGGAACGTCTTAAATGGAACGTCTTAAGTGGAACGTCTTTGGCGGAACGTCTTGAGTGGAACGTCTTAAGCGGAACGTCTTGAGTGGAACGTCTTTGGCGGAACGACTTAAGTGGAACGACGTAAGTGGAACGTCTTAAGTGGAACGTCTTGAGTGGAACGTCTTGAGAGGAACGTCTTTGGCGGAACGTCTTAAGTGGAACATCTTAAGTGGAACGTCTTTGGCGGAACGTCTTAAGTGGAACGTCTTAAGCAGAACGTCTTAAGCGGAACGTCTTTGGCGGAACGTCTTCTGGGCGTGCGATTGGCTGGGCGCGGCGCAACCCCTCCGAGGCGGAACGGGCGACCGTGCCCAGCGGTCATCGTCGGACACGCTCTATCCGCAGCTGTATGAGGGTGTCTCCCCCCCCACCACCACCCCCCCCCCCCCACCACCACCCCCACCACCACCACCCCCCCCCACAAAACCGCCACCACCGCCGCCGTCTCTCGCAATCACCGCGAGCCGGTGGCCCGCATCCAAGAGTCACGACGCTGTCCTCGCCGTGAAAATCTAAAAACGATTCTCCCAAGTGAGAGCTCTCTACACTTTTTCGTTCATCGTATCTCACTCACATCCACCGCTTGGCGTCGATTCGTCGCGTGCGCCCTGCTCGGTCATCCCCTGTGGCTCCGTGACCCCTTCCCCCGTTGTGCGCTTCGCCTGCTAGGATCGGGGATGGTCGCGCTGGTTTGTGTTTTCGTCGCGTGTTTGGGTGATTTGCGTTACCCTCGCCTGTACTTTGCACCCCTATCGTGGTTTTTGTTTTGCTTTGCACTGTGTCTGTCGTAGAGACGTGGCTTCACAGCTCATCGGAATTCCTCCCCCCAGGATAAATACATATTCTGATTCCGTAACCGCCTTGTCGCGGGCGATACTGGCACGGACAAGAAATGCCGGCTGATTTGACCGACGGTCGAAGCTTCACACGAACGGATTTAACGCTGGACGCCATCACCCGCGGCCGCCTTCCCTTACGAAGGAACGAATGAGCGGATGAACGAAGCGTGCATCTCCTCTACGAGGGTATGGACGACTCAATTAATGAATGAACGGTCTACCTTATCTGTAAGGGAATGAATGAGTTAACGGAATATCTTCTGTACGAATGAATGACTCACGTACCTTCCCTGAAATGTATTGAGTGAATGACTGAACCAAACACCTTCTCTATTAGGGAATTAATAATAATCAGAATCTTTATCTTCACGTTCTTTAGATGTAGATGCCACTGGTTCTTCACGTTCTGCAAATGTAGATGCCACTGGTTCTTCAAGTTCTGCAGATGTAGATACCACTGGTTTTTCACGTTCTGCAAATGTAGATGCCACTGGTTCTTCACGTTCTGCAAATGTAGATGCCACTGGTTCTTCAAGTTCTGCAGATGTAGATACCACTGGTTTTTCACGTTCTGCAAATGTAGATGCCACTGGTTTTTCACGTTCTGCAAATGTAGATGCCACTGGTTCTTCAAGTTCTGCAGATGTAGATACCACTGGTTTTTCGCGTTCTGTAGATGTAGATGCCACTGGTTCTACATCAGCACGTTCTTACAACTCTCGGTCCGAACAGGCAACTGGACATACGGGACAAGGTTTCGATTTAAAGCTTTCATGACTGCATGGATTCATATTCTTGGTTCTTTCGGTAAAGTCACGTAGAAGGGAAATATCTTATAATGTTTTATTGTTATTATTTTATTATTTCCCTTCTACGTGACTTTACCGAAAGAACCAACAATATGGGGCAAGGTTTGTTCGTATATCTCTGAAAGTTCGTAAGTCGAATGCGCGTAAGTTGAGGAGTCCCTGCACCTTCCCTGTAAGGGAATGATTGAACGGAATATCGCCCACGCGAATGATCGACTCGCTCGCCTTCTCTGCGACAGAACCGAGCGAATGAATGAGAGTGAATGAATGAGAGTGAATCAATGAGAGTGAATCAATGAGAGTGAATCAATGAGAGTGAATCAATGAGAGTGAATGAATGAGAGTGAATGAATGAGAGTGAATCAATGAGAGTGAATCAATGAGAGTGAATGAATGAGAGTGAATGAATGAGAGTGAATCAATGAGAGTGAATGAATGAGAGTGAATCAATGAGAGTGAATGAATGAGAGTGAATGAATGAGAGTGAATGAATGAGAGTGAATCAATGAGAGTGAATGAATGAGAGTGAATGAATGAGAGTGAATGAGCGAACGAGCGAGCGACAGAGCGGGGCACCTTCTCGATGAAGCGGGCGCGCCGTGGCCGCGTGCTGTAGCGTGGCAGGCGCGCATACTCCTCCGCCAGCCTCGCCAGGAGGAACTCCTCCGGGATGATGCTCTCTCGCGCCAGCATGGTTCCTGCGGTTGCACCACCACCACCATCGTCATCACCGTCATCATCACCACTATCATTGTCATCACCACCATCATCGTCATCACCACTACCACTACAGCCATCATCACCATCACCATCACCGTCATCATCACCACTATAGCCATCATCATCACCACCATCACCACTACCACTACAGCCATCATCACCACCACCATCACCGTCATCACCACCACTATAGCCATCATCATCACCACCACCACCATCACCACTACCACTACAGCCATCATCACCACCACCATCACCGTCATCACCACCACTATAGCCATCATCACCACCACCATCACCACTACCAGTACAGCCATCATCACCACCACCATCACCGTCATCATCACCACTATAGCCATCATCATCATCATCACCACCACCACCATCATCGTCATCACCACTACAGCCATCATCACCACCATCATCACCACCATCATCGGCATCACATCATCATCACCACTATAGCCATCATCATCATCACCACCACCACCACCATCATCGTCATCACTGCCATCATCACCACCACCATCATCATCACCACCACCACCACCATCATCGTCATCACTGTCATGATAACCACCACCATCGTCATCACCACCATCATCACCACTATCATCCCCACCATCACCATTAGCCCCACCACCACCATCATCACCATTAGCCCCATCACTACCACCATGACCATCACCACCATCACCATTAGCCCCATCACTACCACCATCACCACCACCATCATCACCATTAGCCCCATCACTACCACCATCACCACCACCATCATCACCATTAGCTCCATCACTACCACCATCACCACCGAAATCATCATCATTAGCCCCATCACTACCACCATGACCATCACCACCATCACCATTAGCCCCATCACTACCACCATCACCACCACCATCATCACCATTAGCCCCATTACTACCACCATCACCACCACCATCATCACCATTAGCCCCATCACTACCACCATGACCATCACCATCATCACCATTATCCCCATCACTACCACCATCACCACCATCACCATTAGCCCCATCACTACCACCATCATCACCATCACCACCACCATCACCATTAGCCCATCACTACCACAATGACCATCGCCACCATCACCATTAGCCCCATCACTACCACCATGACCATCATCACCATTAGCCCCATCACTACCACCATCACCACCACCATCATCATCAGTTCCACCACGGGTCCCCCGGGGTTAGACATCACGTCTGCATTAGCCACTCACCGCTGTGGCAAAACACGCAGACGGAGTGTGGTGAATGCAGAGTCGCTGCCTTGCAAGAGCGACCCTGTTTGGTGTTCCAATGTCTCAACGCCCTCTCAGTCACATTGCCAGGAAAAGCGGTACAAACCCATTGTTATGTTTCCGTCATTTTTTTGTTGTACAGTACTAGCAACAACAACAATGTCCCACGGCAATAAACATTCTGATTCAATGAAGAAAAATTAACCCGTAAAAACAAAGTTTTTCACTATAAATCCTTTATATGCGTGGCATCGGGGCGGCTAGAATCCTCTCGTCCTCTGGCTTGAGATGGTTGCCACCTATGGGTCAGATGATTGTCTGCCACCATTAAGCAATTGGTAATTAAATATTTAATTATTTCCCCCTAAACAGTGTAACATTTTGGAAAAGATTTTTCACGAAAATTAATTGTCACGCACATCGAGTCTGTGTGCAAAATGTCAGCTCGATTGGATCACGGGAAGTGGGTTAAAAAAACGACCGAAAGATTTACACGGTCCTAAGCAAGCACGCAAGCACGCAAGCACGCAAGCGAACTTAATATAAAGGATTTAAAAATGCCACCCCGCGTTTGTGACCGTTCGTCAACGTCGGCACCTCCGTCTCGCTCTCTCCTCCCTCTCTCTCCAGCGACTCCGGCAAGCTACTGAAGCTCCGAGGCTGCAGGAACGTGCCCCTCAAGAGTGCCCCGAACACAGCGCTCTACACGTGCTGCGTAAAGGCGCTGCATTCCCGGGACCTGGCCAACCTACCGGACATCACCATTTTTAAATCCTTTATATTAAGTTCGCTTGCTTGCTTGCTTGCGTGCTTGCGTGCTTGATTGCTTGCTTACGACCGTGCAAATCTTTCGGTCGTTTTTTAACTCACTTTCCGTGATCCAATCGAGCGGACATTTTGCACACAGACTCGTTGTGCGAGACAATTAATGTTCGTGAAATTTTTTTCCAAAATTTTACACTGTTCAGGGAAAACAAATTAAATATTTAATTACCAATTGCTTAATACTGGCAGACAATCATCTGACCCATAGGTGGCAGCCATCTCAAGCCAGAGGACGAGAGGACTCTAGCCGCCACGCATATAAAGGATTTATAGTGAAAAACTTTGTTTTTACTGGTTATACTTTTTATCCCCTCGTTGCGGCCGCCTCTCAGTGGAAACAAATGTACAAGTCTCCCCTGTAGTCAAACGCTGCGGTGACCTCCAGTGGAGGTTGGCACACTGCACGTTGCAATCGCCGTGTGGCTCAGCCGAATCTCGCCAGGGGTAACAGACTTGTGCATTTCCTGCGGTGCCAGGGAGGATCTGCCCCACTGGTACTTACGCTGCCAGCGGCTCAAACCAAAGTTCCGCCTTTTGGTTGAACATCTTCAGGAAACTGGGGGTACCCTTCTACAACAGCAGCTTCGTATATGGGGTGGTGCTTTACCTGGCTAGCAAGCGGCATGACCTCGCCAACTTCGCCTGTGCTCAGGCGAAGTTGGCGGTGTACAGAACGAGAAAAAAATATCCTGAAAGGTGACACTGACGGCTGCTCTGTGCTTCCAGTGTTCAGGGGCCTGCTCAAGGCGCGGCTCCGGCTGGAGCACGCCATGTACCACACACATGCCGGTGATGTGCACGTCTTCTTCGAACGCTGGGGAGCCGGAAAAGCCCCTCTCTGTAGCAGCGTGGACGGCACCCTCGTGGTGTTCACCTTCTGAAGCGCTCGCTCGTCACCGTGGCGTGCGCGATGACCACCACCACCACCACCACGTGGCTTTTCTTTCGTGTTGTGTGCGGTGCATTTAGCGCCATAGCGCGTGGATTTATAGCGTTTGTTTATTTGTGTTGCTGGTGACTTTGTGTATTTCATATCGGAATGGCCTCCAGTGCTGTTGCTGCTGGCGGCAATAAAAGTTGTTTAAAAGTCAAAGTCTCTCGCTCTCTCCCCTCTTTCTCTCTCTCCTCTTTCTCCTCTCTCTCCTCTCTCTCTCCCCTCTCCCGCTCTCTCTCTCCCCACTCTGCACTCACGCGAACCGTTCGGTACCCGAGGGGTCGGCGGCGTTCCATCGGCGGACAAAAATAGTCGTCCCCTCGCGCAATTCACTCGGGAGCGAGCGGCGGTCCGCACGCATAGCGGTAGTTTTTTTTGGCAACGTTTGTCCCCATCACCACCACCACCACCCCCCCCCCCCCCTAGAAGATTTAAACGACGCCCAGAAACGTGTGAGAAACGTGTGAGAAACGCGCTCGCTCTATTGTGCATTCTGCGACAACAACAAAAAGACCCATCGGCATTGCCTTTAGAAGTGCATCGTGATCAAGAGGACGCCGTGGTGGCTAGGAGATGTTAACTACCTTGCCTGGTGTACAGGAGGTCGTGGGTTCGATCCCGACCCTGACGCCTGCTGCTGTATATTTGGAGTTTGCGTGTCTCTGGCTCTCTCATTATCATCATCACGGTGGCTCGGAGATGTTAACTACCTCGCCTGGTATACAGGAGGTCGTGGGTTCGATCCAGACCCTGACACCTGCTCCTGTATATTTGGAGTTTGCGTCTCTCTCTCTCGTTTTCCCTTCCCGTGGTCGCCTGGATTTTTCTCCTGGTTTTCCCTCCACATTTAGAATAAACATCACGCGTTTAGAGTATTTGGCTGCTACGAATTTCGACGCGATGATGTTGACGATGATGATGATGAGCCACATCCGTTGAGCTATTATCCGTGATGGCCAGGCCGCTTCTGAAAAAAACTACGTAGCTGTTCAGTGGGGCCTTACCTGGTAAAAACTAAACAAAACAAATGTTGTTTCCATTTTGACTGCAAATATTGTGGTTAATGCAGACATGAATCCTCGTAAAAAGGTTTTGTTGCCAGAAAAAAGGGGAGAAACCCTATTATTATATTTTGGTACTGGCAAAGGAGGTCTAATGATGTAGATCAGGGGTCCTCAAACTTTTTAAACAGGGGGCCAGTTCACTGTCCCTCAGACCGTTGGAGGGCCGGACTATAGTTAAAAAAAAACTATGAACAAATTCCTATGCACACTGCATATATCTTATTTTGAAGTGAAGAAACAAAACGGGAACAAATACAATATTTAAAATGAAGAACACGTAAAGTTAAATCAACAAACTTGCCAGTATTTCAATGGGAACTATGGGCCTGCTTTTGGCTAATGAGATGGTCAATGTCCGGTTCCATATTTGTCACTGCTAGTCGTAACAAGTGATGCAAGTGTGCATCCATTAGTCTAGATCTGGTTGGAGATTTCAAATGTTTCATTCTGGAAAAAGTATGTTCACAGACATAAGTACTGCCAAAGATGGTTGCCATTTTGAGTGCATGGTTCCTGAGATGAGGATATGTCTCAGAGGGGAGAGATGCATAGAAATTATGAAGGCTGCTTGACTTGAATGCGTCTTTCAGAGAGTCACAATTCTGCAGTTCAGCCAGTTCCATTTGGTAAATTGTATCCACATTTTCAATGTCAATAGAAAATGGGTTTCGGAAAAGCTGTATGTCCTGTTCATGGAGATGAAGCTCTTTAAATCCAAATTGGAACTCCTTTTGCAATTTTTCCAGTGAATCCACACGTTTTTGTTTGGGAATGCAACCAATGGTTTTTCCGCTAACAGATTTTGAGTTGTGGGGAGATGGCAGAAGTTTTCCTCCTTCACTTGTTTGATGAGGAGGCCTAATTTTACTTCAAATGCTTTGACATGTGATTGCATATCACAGATGAGCTTCCCCTTTCCTTGAAGTTGCACATTGAAACTGTTGAGTAGCTCTGTTACATCTGTCAGAAAGGCAAGGTGCCATTTCCATTCTGCATCATTGAGCTCTGGTACTTCTTTGTTTTTTTTAAGCAGAAAAGCTGTAATCTGTGGAAGTAAGTCATAGAAACGTTTCAAAACTCTCCCTCGACTCATCCAACGGACTTCTGTGTGATACAGAACATCTTCATAGTCAACATTTAGCTCAGACAGAAATGCCTGAAATTGTCTGTGGTTTAGTGCATGAGCTCTAATGAAGGTAACACAAGATACCACAAATTTCATAACCGAGCCCCACTTCAGTGATTTACTACACATCGCTTGTTGGTGGATGAGGCAGTGTATGGCTATTGGATGAGAATGGTTATGTTTGTCCATCTCTTGGTTAATGCGAGCAATTACTCCTTTCTTAGACCCCACCATGCTAGGAGCACCATCAGTTGTCACACTGGCTAGTTTAGCCCAGTTCAGCTCCAAACCATTCACAGTTTGGCAAACCTTTTCATAGATATCCTCTCTTCTTGGTTCTTTCGGTAAAGTCACGTAGAAGGGAAGTAATAAAATAATAAAAATAAAACATAATAAAATAATTCTCACGACGTTTCGGCCACAACGCAAGCAGCCGTCCTCAGGTGAAAACCAGGTCTGTCGGGGAGACAGCGTCTGAATGAAACAGCACACGAGCTTGGAGCATATATAAGCTGGGTTGGAAATGGGGGAAAGAGCGCCTTGACAAAAGAATTTGCATATCAAGAGGAATTTAGCATATTTATGGGAAATGCAGGAATGTTATTAGTACTACATATGCAGCACGGGCATATGTAGTACTAATCACATTCCTGCATTTCCCATACATATGCTAAATTCCTCTTGATATGCAAATTCTTTTGTCAAGGCGCTCTTTCCCCCGCTTCCAACCCAGCTTATATATGCTCCAAGCTCGTGTGCTGTTTAATTCAGACGCTGTCTCCCCAACAGACCTGGTTTTCACCTGAGGACGGCTGCTTGCGTTGTGGCCGAAACGTCGTGAGAATTATTTTATTACTTCCCTTCTATGTGACTTTACCGAAAGAACCAAGAAGATGAATCCCTGCAGTCACGAAAGCTTTAAATCGAAATATATCCTCTCCTGTAGTTGTTCCTTTGATGCTTTGCAGTGCAGCAAGCTCTTCTGTGACTTCGAAATAGTCATTCGTCCCACGAATAAAAATTTGAAGTTGTGCAGAATCACGAACATCATTGCTTTCGTCGAGTGCCAAGGAAAAATAGGAAAGTTTTTTTGTGGAGTTTTGCAAATGCTGATGCAAATTGTCTCCCATTTCTTCAATCCTCCGTGTAATTGTAGGTCCTAAAAGACTCACTGTACTAAATAAATCGGCCTTCTCTGGACACATCTCTTTGGCAACAGAAAGAAGGCATTCTTTAACAAATTATCCCTCCACTAATGGTCTGCCAGTGCACGCTATTAGCTTGACAACTTGAAAACTTGCTCGCAGTGATGAAATATTTAGCTGCTTCTGCTTCACAAAAGTATTTTGCTGAGTTGTTAATGTATTTTTCAGTTTTAATATTTTATCTTTTCTCACTTCTCCGACCAAAC